TGGGTTTTCCCTTTGTAATAATATTGATAACAGTAAGGTCTAGACCTTACTTTGTAAAGTGTCCTGAGATGACATTTGTTATGATTTGGCGCTATACAAATAAAATTTGATTTGATTTGATTTGATCTCCCTTTACTCAGGCTCATTGGCTGGCGAGCACAGAGAGCATCTCTCTGAAGACTCCAGCTAGTAACACAGTGAGAGAACGAGTCCTTAAAATCACAACTGTTGCCAGTCACAGACAGAAACCTTCATTTAGCCTCTTAGAGTTTATATTAAAAATAAGTCATCTTGATATTTGACCAACTGGTTGGTTGGTCTTTTGGCCAGTTGATCATTTTGGCTGGCGGCTAGTTAGTAAAGATGATTGTTAGGTTGAGGAACAATTGTATTTCATACTATGGCTGATGATTCTAAAAAGAAGAAGAAGAATGGTGAATATTGAGGAGCTCCAAAGATCTGTTTTCATATCAAGTTTTAATAACTCGGCTTGTAAGGTAGAGTGCAAGGTGACAGAAAGGCGATAATGTGCTAGGAGAAGTTAAAGAGGATAATCACAGGATAAAATATGCTGTGAAATGAAATTTAAACAGACACACATGACCCCAATGTTGTTTATATTTGATTAGAGATGAGGTTTAAACATGCAATCAGTGTCTACCAAGCCTCTTCAGTGTCACATCATTACTGTGGGTGTCAAAAAACTCAAATACTAGAAAGAAACTGAACCACAGTAGGTAAACATTGCTATTTATTGTTATTCAGAGGTGTGTCTCAGAAAAAGCAGCAGGAAAAGTGAAATGACTGTCAGGAGTGGCTGTGTGTAAGCCTCAAAACAGCACATTGTTTATTTTAGTCATATTCAGACATTAAAAGGTGCCATTTAACCCTCTCTTAAATCTCAAGTCGTCTTGGAGAAATCTGTCAGAATATTGTATTTGCCTTGCCTAACTGCAGGTCAAGTAAAATAATTGGGACTCTCTCCAGTCAAATGCCAAATCCTGGTCCTGTTCTCAAATCCCTGAACACCTCCACCTGAATAAAATGGTCTACATTGCATCACTGAATATGGTAGCCTGTCAAAGAAACTGTCAGTGTGTACTGTGAGCACTGGGGTTTGTTGCTGACTCATTCTGTAACGTTGCCAGTATCTCCTCATTTCTTCACTTTTCTGTTTTTACTTCTTGTATACTTAGTAAAATGAATAAAATATACAGTGAGGGCAGAAAGCCACATCTCTCAAAAAATAAAATATAATATAATAGGAAAAAATACCCAATTTAGGATCTGTATGCCTGCATCCTCCACGCTGGGCTTTTGCTTTTTTAAATCTTTGAATGCACTTGTTTCTCATAATCTGATGTGAATATTCAAATAAAAAGGCATAGTTGGGAACAGGAAACCTAACACTTCTTGTCACCACAATATAGACTGTCAGACAACAATCCAAACTGTATGTGTCAACACATATCCTCACATTAACAGCAAACCAAAAAACTCAAAGTTTATATTTAGACATGACTGGAAGTGAAACAATTTGTCAACAAGTCCATTAGTCGATCAACAGAAATTCTGCTGCACTGGCTTCTCAAAGGAGAATGTTCCTAAGATTTTTCAGTGAATGTAATTTGAATGTGTTTGAGTTTTGGCTCACTGGTGGGACAAAACATATCACCTTGGGCAGTGGGGAACAGTATAATAGTTTGTGCAGCCTTAAACATGTTGTAAGTATGTTACCTATAAATCCAAGCTTCAGATTTGGTAGGTCAGTCACTTCTCATAACTGATGTGCAATCTTTTGTGTTGTGGTTAACGACACAAAACTGGTAGTGAGTTCCCAGTTGACACATGCAGTGATCTCCGTTTTTACTGCAAATGAGCCGACCTTCGTTGTTTATGCCATCTGAACTAGTCATCAAATCTCTCTTCCCAGAGCTAAGGATTGTTACACTTTTAACAAGCGTACCCTTAACATTGTTAACAATCTGTCTACTCCTGCAGTATGTTTCTAAAGGACCTCTTTGTATAAGCGCACACAGTTTCATTAGATTAAGATGAATGAGAACTATGAAATAAATCATGGCGATTTCATATCCAATAACTGTCAGTACTTGACAGTAATTGTATGTGACTATTATTAGTCACCTGTACAGGTCTTTACGGATGACACGGCAAATCAAAAACCTATTTCATCTCCATGGAAACGTGAGCTTTTGTCTCAGTTACAATCATAATTTGAAACAGGATCGATGTCTGTTAGAGTGGATGCAACCAAAATTCAACATTCATGATGGCAGCTTTGGCCAAGCAGGCGGCCTCATCAGAGCAACGAGCCAGTGCCGAGATCCATTCTGTTTCTGCAGCGCCTGTTTTGTCTGATCTTTAATTATCAGGTGCATCAACAACAAAGGCTAACTACTCTGAGGTTGTTTAAACAGGGAGGCCGAGATAGTCAGTCTTGTCACTGACTGTTTTCATGTTTCTCGTGCATTGGTGTAGTTTACTTGCATTTTATATAGCTACATGATACATAATCAGTGACGTCAGCCCCATGGAAATATGTTAATGATTAGCATGCAAAGTCTGAATAAGAAATGACACTGCTGTCTCAGCTGTGAACACTTCATTTGCCAGGAAAATGATGTACAATGTTGGGCTGACGCAGCTGTGTACTCAACTGGCACTGTACAGTCAGACATCCTGTCGTCATGGATTAAAAAGTCCCAGACTGCGAGGGGCTTCCACAGACCATGGCACAGTTGTTACCACTTAGGTCAGTGTTTTTAGCATTAGTTTTTGATGCAAAGCAAGTCAAGGCCAGGGACAGTTAAGGTAAAAACTGCAGGTAAGGGACACGCTAGGACGCAATGAGTCGAACAGAGAGTGGAAAAGAAAAGGGTCCAATGATATCACTGAAGATAAATATACCAGGCCTACTCTAAGGATTTGAAAATAGAAAATAAAGAACCTTTGATATTAGTGACTTATGACTACTGTTGAATAGTAGCCCTTAATTCAAATTATGCTTCATTTCTTTGCTCTATCACTGCCAGAGAGGAAATCGCAAAGCCCCTCAACAATTATTTTTCTTACAGATTTGTCTTTTTGTTTCTTTCTTTCTGTTGCACTCAGGAGGAACCTATTCATCATATCAGTATGACACTTGCTCATTTGTGACGAGTCACCTTTGATAAAATCTTCTACAGCCTTCGTCAGAGGGAGAAATTAAAATCTACTCACTACCACAAGAATGGATGACCGGTGCTCAGTGAATTACAGATACGTCATGATTTTTTTTTTCATGCCACACAACACTTCCCCAAATTCCAAAATGTCACCTCAGGTCACTGTTGCACACTCACTGTTGTTTTGCATTTCATTTAAATTATGCCAGTTAGCCTCTTTGCATATCTAATATTTCTCTGGAGTCTATAGGGTGATAAATGATGAATAGAGATGTGAAGAGTGGTGGAAGAAGTACTCAAATCCTTTACCTAAGTAAAAGTAGCAATACCACAAGGTAAACGTGCTCTTATTACAAGTGAAAATCCTGCATTTAAATCCTAAGTAAAACCTCAAAATATTATGAAACATGGCCATGACTAGTATGTTAGTTAGTTTAGTGTGTTATCATTCAGGTATTCTGTAATAAAGTCAGTAGGATTAAGCTAAAAAATAAAAAAAAAAGTTGTCTAACAACACTTTTACTGGTTATTTGTTTATATAATATTTTATGTTTTACAAAATCCTACTTATCCATTTCTCTAAGATGGCATTTTCATTTCAATCACAGTTGGCAAAGCTACACTGGTAATCGATACAACTGAGTCATCTCGTTATTAGAATAACCTTTAAAATTGCAGTTCTTTCAGACCTAGTGACTCACTGAAGACAAGAAGCTGAAAGCAGCCACGACATTTCTTTGCCATCTTAACAGAAACACTGCCTGTCTCTGGAGTCCTTTATTCTACCTGTGTATGCCTGGAGAGAGCCTAGTGCAGAGTAGGTTTTTATTGAACTATAGATATGTGGCAGAATTCAAATTTTAAAAAATCGCCTCTTTGTACAGTTGTACTTTGCCACAAATCTAGTCTTAACAATATCTGATTGAACAGGTCATCCAAGAAATGTCTTGATAATCCAATAATTAAAGCAGGTGGCCAACATCAAACAACAGAGTCAACAATCAATATAAACATTTTTCTTGGTAAAATATTAACCTTTAAATGCCACTGTTTATATACCAGCCAACAAACCTCAAGCTCATTGCCTCTGTGTCTTTATTTCTTATTAGTTACACTGCCCACGCAGCTGTACAGTATGTTATAGTGCAAGTTCTAAAGGTTTAGAGGAAAAGTGAGCAGTGATACAAAATGCTTTTTTGGAATGTGTATTATGTCTGTGAATGTAAAGTTCATCTTTACATGTATATAACGATCAATTATATTGTGCGTGTATTAACTGCGGTCAAATCTACTGTCATCAACAATGCCTGTCTGAAAACTTTACTGCAGTATTGCTTGTCACAAATCTTAGCAAAAAATCTCTTTCACAAATCCCATCAGCACCAGAGTGGATGCGTGCATCAGAGCTCTCGCACTCCCTAAAACCAGCATTCATTTTAAAAAATGAAAATGGAAACCACAAGCTGGCACATTGCTGCTACAAAAGAATCAAAGAAAAAGGATGCAGCCGGCACACAGCGTCATACAAAATGAAATCAATGGGACGTGAATGATTCATTCAGCATCACAAAGTGTTGTAGTTTTGAGTTTTAGTTTATCGCCCTTCAGAAACCCATCTGTAATATCCTTTCATGGCCTTTTCATAATAAAGAGTTTTTAAAGGTCTCCAGACACAGCTCTGCACTTCCAGCTAAACATATTTAAAGTAATCATGTACTTCTTTTTAGACTTATGCTATTTTCTCTATCCATGGTTTTTATTTGAACTGGGCCTCCACTAGATAATCATTTGCCCTTTGTGCATGTGTGGTTTTACCTTCCATGACATAGACCAGTGAGCCCACATCGCCCTCCTTAATGATACAGCTGTCCTTTCCGTACTCCACAGGGTACATGCAGTCCACAATCTCTTGGATCTGTGAAAGCTCAAGGTTCTTCATGAAGTCATTGTCCAGGATGGCCTCCTTGATCAGATCCTTGGACCTGGAGAAAAGGTAAAACAAAATGAGACCGTCACTGTACCACCACTGTCCTGTACAAACACAGGCTATTATAGAAAGAGAGGGAATGAGAGAGAAATTAGTGCAAGACTCTAAGGCCCAGTCCCATTTCTTATTTTTTACCCCTACACCTCATTTTGAGTTAACCTTCAAAACAGAGTTACAAGGAGCAGTGGCTGAAATCTTCCCCTATGAAATGGAACAACCCTTCAAGACCTCTCTGATGACAGTTAAATAAACAGAAGCAATGAGATGTTGTTGGAAATTTTGAATTTGGCTGTAGTGATTTCTCTCACACAGTCTATAAGCATTGGTTTGCAATTTTCAACAACAAATGTAAAAAATGCAAGGAAAGGATTATGTTTTTGACACCAGGAAATGCTGGTGGATTTGTTTGAGGTGTGCAGCATTGATTGCAGATCAATTTTTGTAGTTACCTTCATACCACTTGGTTTTGAGTCTTCCTCTGTAAACCTTTCATTTGAAGGGCTATGTAGCCCTACCATTTTGCCCTACCCCTCCATTCTAAAGCGAATCATGACACCCCTACCACTGCATGTGAGCATGCAAAACAAAGAGGTAGGGCTAAGTGGTAGGAGCAAAATGTGTCAGACACAAAGAAAAACCTTGACTGAGATCAAAATGTTCTCTAAGATCCAGTGAAATCCTGTACGTCAGTCAGTTCAGTTTTAAGGCAATAAAAGTGTCTTTCAAGCTGCACAGTAGCTTTTCAAAAAACACCAAGGTGAAATTCTGTATTCCCTCCAAATGTTGAAACAGGTAAATAAATAGTCAAATCCATTCCTAATGGAGGCAGAGTGGTTCCATGCAGGGGTGCACTTATGAAAGCCAAATCGTCCTTCAGACGGCAGAATCGTTAGGGCATTCCACAGATAAGTACGGCATTTTCTGCAATTACCATGCAAGCAAGGGAGAAAATGTAATTAATTGTAGAGCTAATGTGCAGTCGTCAAGGTGCAGCTCCTTGTGCATGTCAAAGAGCGCTTTGTCAGGTGGGCTAAAAGGAAAAGCAGGGAAATGAAATTAGACAACATTATGAAAGGGGACAAATTATTATTTATCTCAAGGAATACACATTAGATGAGGTTTATGTACCACCAACACAGGACTGACTTTTGTTTGTAACAGGTGTCCCATGTGCTGTCAACAGGTGACACGGAGCAGATCCAGTGGAGTTTGAAACCATCACAGCGGGAGTCAGTCTGATCCTCTCAGACACAAAAAAGTGTCAAGAAATGGAAGAGAAGTCTGAGGCAGACCAGATCCTGAACAGTGAGTCAAGATCACTCATTCATTGAAGCATGTTATCACCGGAGTCTATGTTGTTCGGCTGAGCGCACCTTTTGATAGTGTGTCACTGGGATGAATGAGGTTAATAATATGTATCAGGGTTAATCCAACAAGGAGTCTCCTCCTACTGAGAAGGGAAGCTTTATACCCTAATTTATAAAAAAAAAAAAAGCACTCAGTGCCTTGCGAGTAGGATTCAAAGGCACTGGTGCCTCTTGCCTTTTTGTGCTCAGTGCCCTTTTCAGAAACTGATTTCTAGGGGCATTGTTGATGCTGATCACCTGAGGAGCTTATAGCTAAAGGGCAAATAACCTGGAAGACATTTTATGAAACAGTGCTCCCACTACACGCAGACTCCCCTGCTGCCAGCTGGCACCAAAGTTCTACACAAACTGCAAAACTACACAGAGTAAAACTTCAGCTTCTGCCATGATACAATATAAGCAGTGCCCAGGCCTTTTTTTTAAGATGTATATACAGAGCACAATGCACATGACTGTGATTTTAAAACAACAAGCACTACAAACCCCTCTGCACATTCATGCATATGTGAGATAATGTCTGAGGGCTACTGTTTTATTTCTGTTCAAATGCTTTCTTTGACTGTTGAAGGTCAGATGAATGCTTCTCCATTAAGTCTGGAGACACTTTACCAAGGAACAGCGTTGTTCCTTCAGATGAAAAACTGCCGACACTGTGAGAGGTGCCACTCTGTAATGAAAATCACTCATGAAATACTGTCATGTAAATAAAAATTCAACCTTGGCCAGCATCTATAGCAACAGCTGGATGATTAGTTTGGTTTGAATCTTAAATAGAGAAATCCTAGTATATTGCATTTTCTTCCTTGAACGTCTGTGTACTATATGGCACTGTACACATTCAGGTTTCTATCATCATTATACCGAGCTTCCCTGGCATTTGTGGACATACGTTTTATTATTGTATTATAGGGAACTTCTGCTTTGTTGGACAATTATACAGATATGAGAAAAACAAAGGAGACAGTGGGTTAACAAGCATCCAGAGTCTCAGAGGTTTAAATGTTTGAACCAAAGACAGCGTAGTTGTTACCAGAGTAACCAGGATGATCCAGATGTTCCTCATTAGTTATTATTTTATTCCTCCCTTGAGAGTCAAAACGAGCTACAGCTGCAAATTGAAAAGAAGAGATTGGGGTGTTGCACCTGCTGTAAAATTCCCACTCCTCAGTCTATGTTCTGATTTGCACTGCCCTTCACAAACTCTCCTCCTGTTGTCAGCAGGAGAAGATAATGTGGATTTCATCGTGACAACTCCATTAGGTTTTAAGGAGTAAACCTTAATAAAGGTCAGTTTGCAATATATCAAAATGATTTTAAATGTATGCAGTTAGCAAACTTTGCACATAATTAACTAAACCTGCAGCAACAAACTGGGAATCCATTATTTTCCCAAGTCCTTCAGAAATGTGCATCATTGACCCAGTTTCCGTTGTATTTACACCCAGGAGATTACTGGCCTTTTCAACCCTAATCACAACCCCTCAACTCAAACCTCTAAAGACAACATGGAGCAACGTCTTCCAACCAGACCCTTATAATAACCCCTGCCTTTCTCTCCTTTGTGAGGACAATATATTTGCCTAGTGAAGTTTGGGGCTGAGCAATTCCAGCCTTCCTTAAAAGGAGAAAATATGCTCTTTTACAAAGAAAAGAAGAGGGGTGGCAGAAAAGTGGGAGAGGCTAACAGAAATAAGAGGCAGACAGAGGGAGCAGGATGGATAGTCTGTGTGTAAGTAGTGTTCTGGGGACCTTGTAAAGAAGATAAAGTGGGTGAGAATGAAAGAAAAGTATAAACATTTGGCCAAATCCAACAAGCGTTATCGCTACACATCAATAACCAAAACAAAAATGAAAATGTAATGGAGCTGTTTTTATGCTGTGAGGGCACTTGTGTGTCGTATAAAAAATCTTTCTATTTTCAATTGAGCAATAAGAAAACATGAGTTAGAAGAGTCGTACAAAACCAAAACAGCTTGGACTGAAATTAACTGCTCTGTATCTAGAGGAAAATATGAACTTTATGCACGTTGCTCAAGCATAGCTGCCCAAACTAAATGAACGAGAATAACGCTAAACTAATAGAAGAGCAGTGCCCAAACCCACTCAAGTCATTTGTCTGTCTGCCTTTCAGTCATGTTTTTTGTTATTTTATGTAGAAGCTCATTCAAAAAGAGACACAAAACTAAATATTCTCTGACAGATGGAGACTGTGAAGAGGTGCTGCAGATGCTCAGCAGAAAAATGAAGTTGTAGATTAGAGGCTCTACAGGAAGTACAAGCTCTTGGTAAGAAGAAGTGAAATTTCAGTTCCATCATGAAATTTCCCTTCATCAGGAATCACACACTCATTCAAAACTGCTGTCACTCATCACCCATTATAACTGACACATGATTGCACTGAAACTCATCTATGGCCAAGATAAACTCTACAGAGAGTGCTGGAGAATGTCACAAACACAGGACAAATACTTATTTTTCAAAGAGCTGATATTTTTTTTGACTATCACATTCTCACGAAAAGCCTCTCCAGGAAATCTCTTAATGGAAATATACAATAAAATGTCTAAGGATGATTATCATAATGAAATAGTCACTCTACTATCTTTTCCAGGATCTCACATTTATTTATGCCAGTGAGACAAAGAAAACCAAATTTGCCAACCAAAAACGGTCTGCTTTCCGAGCTGGTAAGTATAACAAAGACTAATGGCCCTTTTCTACTCCTTCAATTTTTGAATCTTCTTTGGTGAAATCCTTTGAGCTTTGCTTGTTTGTGCGTCGACAGTGTAATGATATTCATATCCGACACGCCTGATTGATTTGCAAAGTCTGAAGGGTGTTTCTTTTCCTCCTAGGCATTAAACAGCTGAAACATTCAATTGATGTTGCAATGCATTTAAAAGTAGGTTAAAAACCAAACAGTTTAATTGTAATATTACATGCTGCTTATGTTAAGTGATGTGACTCTCCCATTGTGCATTTCAAAGGTGGATTTAGTTTTGAAAATGTATTGATTGATATTTTGTCAATGCATTGATTATATTCAGTGCCCCTGCAGAATGAAGCATAGATATTCTCCCTTTCCACCAGGGGGGTGAGAGTACTGGTTCATAAAAACACAACCTTTATGTTCAAACCTGAACAGACTGCTGCACTATTTCATCACAGAGGACTTTTTTAGTGTCAGTTTTGGTTTGAAAATCAGACCAAGCTGAGCAGGACAGAGGTGTTTGCTTAAGAGTTTGGAAAGAAAAGAGGGATACACACAGAGAAAGAGAGAGAGAGAGACTACTTCTAGACAAATCATAAGGTAAACATGCACTGAGAGCTTGTTAAAACTGCCTGTCACAGAATCACAGCTTGTATAAAATAGGCACCACTGGTACATAACACAGAACTGCCACCACCAGCTCTCACCACCTACGACATTTCATTTCTCTCTCATGGTAGCCAGTGATGAGGCTTATTGATACTCAGCCCTTTATCAATGAACTGCTGGTGTTCTCAGATCAGTTGTTTCCTCTCATTTTCACAGTTCGGTGCAGCTTATTACATTTTCCTTATATCCAGTGTGTGAGTGCGTGTCAGAGAATATAGCTTCAATCTTTTGTGCTACAGGTGCCGTACCTGCTGTGCCGCACATTATATTACGCACAGGAATCAGAAAAGTGATAACAGGTTAGTGAACTCTTATTAGAGCGCAACAGCGCATCCAAAATATACCATTATTAAAAGCAAATTCTATGCGGTCATAATTTGGACACCTACTGTGGGCTTTTGGGGTAGAAAGGTAGGGTGACATGGCTAAGATCCTGGATGTCGAAGGCAGTAGGTTCAGCCGAAATTGCCTGCCTCTTCGTCCGCTGCTGCTCGTGCAGCTCGTTCTGCTTGTGGACCTGCTGGGTTGCCGGTTTGATAACGGAACGGTATTTGTCAAGCTCGTTCTGCAGTCTCTGTATAAGCTCATCTTTCTGGTCGAGCTCCAATTCCAGCTCGTCGATGAGTGCGTCCCTCTGGCGCAGCTCCTCAATCTTCTCCTGGAGAGCGTACTGGAGGTCGCGCAAGGTGCCCATTTCAGTTGGCGAAGGCGTGCGACTTCCCAGTAAGTTTATAGAAAGGTCGAGTCTTTATCCTGAGATGTGACATAAACTTTATCCGGCATGAACAGCTTTAGAGGATGCAACCACTTTCTCTCCTGTGGGGGATTCCTCACCGCTGTTCGTCTCAAGCAGATGTTGGGAATGTAAGCGAAGGTATGCTCTGTGGTCTCCGCGATTGCCTAGGTGAGCTTATTAAGCGTCTCGACCACGATCACGCAAAGTTTGCCCTCTCTCTCTTCCTCTTTCTCCCTCCCTCGGCAGCGTGACAGCGGAGGACCGTCCTCCCCGAGTGCGTCAGGCTGCGACCGAAGAGAGCGCATGGTGAGAAGGGCGCCTACAGGAATCTGTGGCACAATGCAGTCTGCCACTCCAGAGAGAGCTGCGCTCGTCTCGCATGAATAATGGACTGGGTGAGAAAGCCACTGTTTGGGGAATCATGTCCTACCTCAGTAACTCGCCCTGAGGCTGCTGAGTTACAAACAGAGGAGAACTGAAGCCTTAATGGAAGTTGAAGGTGATGGAAACTGAATGAGCCTCGATGTAAAAATAAACAACGCGTTTATATCTGTTGGTGAAGGAGACTCTGCTGCTTGAATTGTGCTAGACTGCTTGTGTATTTTCTCAATACGGACAGAACGCAGTTGCCTGTTAGTGAGGATTCCGGTGCTCTGAAGCCAAACTACGCTTATAGGCGTATGTTAAAGTCGTAAATAATAAATCCACTTAGATGCCAAAGGCAAACAATGATAATCCTACAGACTGTCAAACAGCAACAGCAGGTGTGAAAATGCCAATGCTGAGGCTCAGGACTCTCCACTGCAGCTCCACATTCCTCATCTAATCTTGTGTTGTCTGGACTGAGCGCCGCTGGTGTCTGTCCACATTATTCCAATGAGTCATCCGAAGTTCAGCATTCGGCCTCACAGGTTCTGGACAAATGAAGACGAGAATAAACTGCCAAGGACAATCTGGTAGATTTTGAGGCTAAAACAGCAATTACTGTGCTGAGAAGGTGGAGAGTCACAGAGTGACAATGAGGACAAAGAGCGGATTGAAAGCGATTTCTTTGGCTGTGAGGACTGGTAGTTTTTTTTTGTGTGTGTGTGGTGATAAAAAGCTTCTTTTTTTTCCTTACAAAATGCATGTAAACACAGGAATGAGACCTGTGGTCTAATAAAAGGTCACAGCTGCCCTCTTGTGGTGGGTTAAAGCATCAACTCAGGCAAACAACAACAGCAAGGGGGCTTGCCTCTGCTCCAAATGTCAAACATTTCATGATCCCTCACTGTTGCGCAATGCATTATTGGACGGTCTGAGTAGTCTGTTAGGAAATAGTGGATTGTACTGTATAATGGACAAACAATTAGTTCTGTCATTGCAAATACTGACATGTACAGAGTCATTGATGGATTACTGAACGAGCATATTGGGCACAATCTGTCCATGTGTAGAGCAGTCTCTTGAACAGTGCAATAAGTAGAAGTGCTCCACTGTGGCAGCCTTGAAGAGATTGCACACCAGCAGCTAAGAACAAACACCTGTTTTCAGAAACCTCGATAAATTATTTTAAAAAGTATAAATTTGAGCTCTCTGTGGGACTGTTCAACAAAAAAGCAGATGTACTCAGAGTTTGGACCACCAAAATTAAAGCTGTATATATATTTTCCCCAAACAACTTCTTTTCTTGTGAACCTCTATAAATACAGACACTTAAAACTTATAAAGAAGTCAAGGCAATCTTTCTCCTGTGAGCTAATGAAATTTTTCTTTTATCTCTATCAGGGGAAGCGCGCAGAGGACAAAAGCTGAGCAGCAGCAAAGTTTGCGTCATATCAGCAGGTTACTGGAAATTTCAGGCTTTTTCCAGTCCAGTGTTGCATCCCCACATCCTTCCATCATCAAAAGGCCCTCCTACTGTCCTTCAAAGCACCTTTGCGCTTTAAATTTCACCTCTCTAACCATCCAGCTCAGCCTGTTTCCTATGCAGATCAATAGAAACAGGATCTGTTGCGCCATGCTGCGGTAATCCGATGAGCGGGGCGGGACGCCGGCTGGTGCCACGTCCTGACTCTAATAGGGGTGGCAGCGTCTGCGACCCCACGGCGGCCCAGCGTGCACGACGGCGCAGGTGGACGCCCTGTAGTGGCACCAAGAGCAATCGCTTCATCTCACCCATGCTTTTCACAAACGCAAATTTACTTCAGCTGACTGCACAGGGCCACATGCATTTGCCCACTGAAGGCCCGTATACTCAGCTGAGTATATTTAACCATTTTCAGAATGAGCCCTGGTCCTGTAGAAAGGTTCACATTAGATGTTTATAGTTGTCATTACTGAATCTGGGTCATTCATGGCCTCCAAACCTTGTTCTCAACTATTTTTGTTTCATTTTCACGCCTCAGCATACGTTATGTGGACTTCTGTGTTTGATGAAACAATGAGCTTTTCTTAATGTCCAAATAATGACCATATCCTGTCTGCAGTTTGTTAATGCAAATGAAGACTGGAAATTGTCTAGCCAGGTTAATAAAATGCGCCCCATTATCTGCTACATAAACTAAGACAACAGAGTGATAACTGCCCGTGTGTGCATGTAATTATCAATAATAACAGATGTCCTAATTTGTGCCGAAGGTATTCTGATGACTAATTATTTTCGTAACCATTTCTAAGAAGAAGACAGAGAGAGACAAACTTTTTGCTAAATCCAGATGAGTAGATGTAATCATGCTGGCCTCACATAAAGCCCTCAAAATCAGGACAACCATAATGTGAGGCTAAAACGAGCACCTAAAGGTGATGAAGGAAGCATATGGTCAAACAAAGCGTTTTCTAATGGAGTATTAAATATCCTCAGACATGCACTTCGGGTCCTCGGCGTCCAGCTACTAAAAGCCAATAATGCATCGCACTTCCTCCTGTCTGTGTCCCGTGAGAATACCATGATGGATCTGATCAATTAGAAGCTCTTTCTGAAACTCGCCTTGGAGCTGCGTCATCGGCCCCAAGAATGAAAGTGCTCGTTCATTCATGGCAAACGCCTCCATCTTTCATTTAGAAGAAAAAAAAATGAAAAATGTAAAAAAGAGGCAGAGAATGCTGTGTGGACATGGGTCACACAAGTGTTTGAAACTGGAGATCGTATCAGCACCCATACTTCTGTTAAGTTGTGCTTCCTAGCGATATCCTTTCATATTTTTCATGGCAAACATTTTGATTGGAGTAGATGGAGGAACAGCGTACAGCGAGACAAAGTGGGACACAAAGCTGACACATGGGCGTAACAGAGCAACAAAGTAGCCTACTAACGCCTGCTGAAACTCTCTTACCAGTCGGACTTTGCGTATTTCCGAAACGACTGCCTTGACAGGTCCTGGTGCGTCTGAGGTTCCGCGGAGATGCCCTGCGCCCTGCGGGTTCGCGGTCCAATAAGTTGAGCGCTGGGCAGAACAGACTGGCATTTGTGCAATTTCCTCTTCAGTTCTTGAATCTCATCTTCCCTGTCCGCCAGCCGCCTCTCCAAGTCTCGTATCCTCTCTTCCTTTAGCAGCAGGATCTTGGTAAAGTCGTCCTCCAGGTCACTCATGTTGAAATCTGCGTTAAAGTTTGCCGCGATTCTCCGCGATATGAACAAAATAATTTAACTCCCAGTATTACTCGCAAAAGGTAATTTAAACGGACACCAATCCTCCTTTAAATGCGCGCAGGATGATGATGTTCCGAGAATCCCCTTCACTGGCCACTTGTTTATTTCAGAAGAAAGGAGCAAAGCGGTGTTTAAAGACGGGAAGCGTGCGATTGATGGAGCAGCCCTACGCTAGTCCACCAACCCTCCGGGGAGCTGCTGATGATCCTTCATTGAGAAACCAATTACAGCAGCTCTTCCTCTCCGAGGACGCAGGCAGGCCGTCAAACTGGGCGCTAAAGAGCCGAGACAACTCCTTAGTTCACCGCCCAGCACACTGCAAACACACCACAGAAGGAGACCGCTGCTGCTGTCAAATATTAGTTTCCCATCTGCACATCCCCGAGACCTCTTTGAGCGACAAAAGCGCAATGTTAAACCTCCACAGCACATCACCCACCCAACCTACTGCAAAAATCCATTGTCTGGTACTCACTCCATAGGACAGTGGACTGAGGCTGTTTGGCATCAGTCACATTCCCCATGAAGTGAAAGTAATATCCCAGTAAGGCAAACGGCCCTTATATTTGGACGGACGGAAGATTGTTTACTGGTTTCTGTATCTTTATTTGGTCTTTGTGTGTTTTCAGAATGATTGTGCAGTTTTTATAGTAGGACTGATTCACACCTGTTTTAACTCAAACCATTAAAAGTTTCTTTGCATAAAATGATTGATTTATAGTTCGACAAGATAAAAAAAAGATGTTATAATATGCATCAAGTTAATTACACAACAGATCCAGAGTGCGTTAGCTTAGTGATTAGAGTAATCAGTAATTACATACTCTGGCAAAAGTGTGAATCAGTTTATCCTCAATATGCTGTGCAGGCTGAGGAGAGTTCAGTAATAGATCATCACTTCTCTCGATGGCATATTAATCTCCAAACTGAGCCATTCATTTCTATGCACCATTATTCATTCTACTGCCTAAGTCTGTTTCAACTCAATGAATTCATTTGTGGGGGGTTAAAAATAGAGTGAACAGATTCTTCCTTCTCTGGTGTAGTTTAACTCATTTCACCCTTGTATACTGCTTGACTTTTTATTATTCCAACCAGCTCTTATTAGGCAGAAACAAATGTGTGTTGCTGGAAAGTGGCAGTGCAGGTATATTTGCAGAGTTTTATTACACACAATTTGACATTTCCTGTCCCCTTTATCCTGCAGCTCTCTGAATGCATCTTGAAGGGGAATATTGTCAAGAGAACTTGATTGTAAAACGTCCTCTCATGTGAGACATGATAACTGGCATAACTCTCACCTGGCTTGATAACTGCACTGAGAGTTATCAGCTGTACCACACGCAGTGGTTTTCATCATGCACCACATGAGCAGCAAAGTGAATGCAACCAGTATTCAAAAACAAGGTGAGGACCAGGATTGTGCTGTTGTCAATGTGGAAAACAGAGATTGATTAATTATGTATGCCGCAGACACTGTGCCCATTATGACAGAGGTAAATTAGGCAACACCTTCCTTGACCCTAGCCATATCTAAAGAGAATATGAGTACACTAGAAAAGCACAAGTGGCAACCTGTTCAAGAAATGGAGATTCATGCATTTGGGCAAAAATATGCAACACCCAAAAAAAAACCCAAACAGTTTTTCATTAATGTGTCTTTGATCTTA